CCTCCAGCACCCTGTAGAGGGTATAGAGCTGGTCCAGTGTTCCACGGCCTGGACGAAAACCGCACTGTTCCTCCTGAATCCGAGGTTCCACTATCGGCCGTATTCTCCTCTCCAGTACCCTGGCATAGACTTTCCCAGGGAGGCTGAGAAGTGTGATCCCCCTGTAGTTGGAACACACCCTCCGGTCCCCCTTCTTAAAAAGAGGGACCACCACCCCGGTCTGCCATCCCAGAGGCACTGTCCCCGAACGCCACGTGATGCTGCAGAGGCGTGTAAGCTAAGACAGCCCCACAACATCCAGAGACTTGAGGTACTCAGGGCGGATCTCATCCACCCCCGGTGCCTTGCCACCGAGGAGTTTCTTGACTACCTCGGTGACTTCAGCTAGGGTGATGTACGAGTCCACCTCTGAGCCCTCAGCCTCTGCTTCCTCATTGGAAGACGTGACGGCGGGATTGAGGAGATCCTCGAAGTATTCCTTCCACCGTCCGACGACATCCCCAGTTGAGGTCAACAGCTGCCCACCTCCACTGTAAACAGCATTGGTAGGGCACTGCTTCCCTCTCCTGAGGCACCGGACAGTTTGCCAGAATCTCTTCAAGGCCAGCCGATAGTCCTTCTCCATGGCCTCACCGAACTCCTCCCAGGCCCCAGTTTTTGCCTCCACAACCACCCAGGCTGCAGTCCGCTTGGCCTGCCGGTACCCGTCATCTGCCTCAGGAGTCCCACAAGCCAACCAGGCCCAATAGGACTCCTTCTTCAGCTTGACTTCCGGTGTCCACCACCAGGTTCGGGGATTGCCGCCTCGACAGGCACCGGAGACCTTACGACCACAGCTCAGAGCGGCCGCTTCGACAATGGAGGTGGAGAACATAGTCCACTCAGACTCAATATCTCCAGCCTCCCTCGGAATCCGGTCGAAGCTCCGCCAGAGGTGGGAGTTGAAGATCTCTCTGACAGGAGACTCGGCCAAATGTTCCCTGCAGACCCTTACAGTACGCTTGGGTCTGCCGAGTCTGTCCAGCTTCCTCCCCCGCCATCGGATCCAACACACCACCAGGTGGTGATCAGTTGACAGCTCTGCCCCTCTCTTCACCCGAGTGTCCAAGACATATGGCCGCAGGTCAGATGAAACGACCACAAAGTCGATCATCGACCTACGGCCTAGGGTGTCCTGGTGCCACGTGCAATGATGGACACCCTTATGCTTGAACATGGTGTTCGTTATGGACAAACTGTAACTAGCACAGAAGTCCAGTAACTGAACACCGCTCGGGTTCAGGTCAGGGGGGCCGTTCCTCCCAATCACGCCCCTCCAGGTGTCACTGTTGTTGCCCACGTGGGCGTTGAAGTCCCCCAGTACAACGACGGTGCTCGCATATGAGCCCCAACCCCCGGCCTGGCTCCAGGGTGGGGCCCCGGCTGCGCCATACCGGGCGACGTCACTGTCCTATAGTATATATAGTATTCTATACAGTGATAAAGGATATGTCGATTAGCATTGCATTATAAATATGCATTATCCTTATGAAAATAACCAAGATTTATTGAAGAACACTGATAAACCATATATTGTCACTTATTGCACTATGGTGTGTTAATTATGCTTAACCAGTCAACACATCTCTATCTGCAATTTATTCAGCTAAAGCAATAGCTGGATGTCTTCGTCTATATTACAGATTTCCTGGAACGTCAAAAGTTTAATATTTTATGGGTCTCACTTATGGACTTTCTGCACGAGGGCCCTCTCATGTAGAGTATGAATTAAACAAATTACAGGTTTATTTGTTTTGTATAGTGCTTTTCACAATACATATAGTTTTAAAACATGTGAGAGTTTAGCGTTTCATAATGCTCACATCGCCCTATTTTGGGTAAAAATACAACAAAACATTCCTCTCTAAAGATATTTGAAGTAAACATACGATAATCAATACGTTTTTATCCAAATTAGCACACTTTTGGACCTTCAAGGGATGTAAATATAACAAAACACAGAAAGGGGTCAGAAGTTAACAGGTTCATGTAACATTTCCCGTTTCAGGACTAGCAAAATAATTGCAACTGACTGTTGTGTTCTGCCATTGCCTCTTTCACTGACCGATCAAGCTGTAATAATACAAATACAAGTTAAATCAATGTAGGACAGTAACAATAACAAAACAACATATTTATTCCATGCATTACATTTGCAAACGCCAAAGGTGACCGCATGTCATGTCATAGTCTAATCTTATAGGAGTGCTCTATGACCTATGTTGTGTAAGTTAGTTACTGTAAAAAAGTCATTACTAGCTACTAATTAAGTGTAATTACATTACTGTGTTAAATGTTCACTCTAAAAAATATTGAATTACTTATTACTTTCTCTAGCCCATATCAACCAGTTGCCCCAGTATAGACAAAAAACTACACTTTTAATCATTTCAAATAAATGTAATGAGTTACAGTTTAAAATATATGTTTATATATATATATATATATATATATAATTAATTAATTTTAACGAATTATAATTAATTATAAATATTTTTATGTTTTAGAATTGACTGTAGCAGAATTAATAGTAAAATTATTTAATCAGTTCATACAATAAACAGAAAGCATAATCAATTATTAATTCTAGGAAATATATTATCTTCCTGGCCAAGAAAGAATAACCTTTTCCAGCTAAAGTAAATCAAGTACTAGCAGGGTAATAGCATAAGTAGCTAGATCAAGATGTTTAAGTGACTTCGATATTTTTGTGAGTGGCAAACACAGAGACAATAAAGTGTGATAATAAACGAAACTATGGTAGGCTACACACACAACTAAACTAAGAAAAGATTGTATACAGAATCAAGAAAGTAAAGAAAAGTGAAGAAAGAGAGAGAGAAGAAAAGAGAATGGCAAGATTACAATCAGTTAACCACAACCTACGAGAAACATCAGAGAATCAGGGTCACCTTAAAGGGGCCCAATAACTTAGAAACACATCTAAAGGCTGCAAACGGGTACTTGCATTGGTTTTGGTTGCTGAACAAGTTGCAGGAGATTCTTGAGATTCTTGATGATTTTGCCAGGAGTGTGCTGAAGCGTTCGTTTTGGGTTCTTGGGGTGGTCCACGTTGAATCCAAAGAAGTTAACTTGAAGATGAAGTTGCCGGAAGAAGACAGGAGGATGTTGTCTCAAAGAGGTTGAGCAAAGGAACTGACCTAATCAGATTCTCTTAAAGGTCCTATCAGTTCACACACATTTGGTGGGGTGACCAATCTAAGATGACCTGGAGAAAGTCTTTGTTCCATCTTATCTCCATTTGCATGTTCATGGTGGCATGGAGAATTTGTGCAGTCTTTACACAAAAGTATGGTAAAAAATATCCTGATGCAATTTATCATAACATATTGTACACCATTGATTATAAAATCAAAAGAGGATTATTTGGATACCAAGAAAGAGGGGATTTGAAGACACTGAAGCAGTGATACATCATCTTTGGATATCAACATTGGAAGTTACTCTAACATTACTAAAGAATCATAACTAGTCATAACTAATAAAACATAGAGACATGCATAAAACACAGAAGTACTATAAACATTTGAGAAAGTTTGTGGGTATGAAGGTAGTGTCCTTGGAAGTTTATCTCTATAGTCTTTGACTGGCTAGTGTCTCCTGTGCTGTCTTTTGAGGCTTGTAGACACAGTCTCTTGCTGAGATCGTTCAGTGGAGCCGAGGTGATAACAGCCTTTGAAGAGAACTGGTTTTAGAGCCGGCGATGACAACAGGGGAGAGGGGGAAGGTTTTCTGATGTCTAGGGCATTTTGATTAAGGCCATTCGCTACATAAACAATATACAATTGCAAGAATTATTCTTCAACTGACCAAAGTGTTTTTGTTCACCTTATAATGTTATCAATACTTACTCACGTTATAGCATTTGAGGTCAAACTTAAATCAGTGTCACCTGGTAATGTTGATAATCCCATTCATCATGTCACTTTTTTACTTAATATAATAACAAATAATTAATTACATTTATATAGCGCTTTTCTCTGCACTCAAAGAGCTTTACATAGAAGGGGGGATCTCCTCAACCACCACCAATGTGCAGTATCCACCTGGATGATGCGACGGCAGCCATATTGTTCCAGCTTACTGGTGGAGAGGAGACAGAGTGATGAAGCCAATGAGTATATGGGGATCATTAGGAGGCCATAATGGACAGACGCCAATGGGCCAATTGGGATTTTTAATGACCACAGAGAGTCGGGACCTCGGTTTAACGTCTCATCCTAAAGACGAATGACTTGAAGACTTGTCCTTTTGTCAAGTCACATGTATTTATATAACGCTTTTTACAATACAGATTTACAGAGATAACAGGAAAATAATGCAACAAAGTTTGTTTCCAGAAGAAAATAGCGTCACAGTCCAGCTTAACTAAGTTCAGTGATGTTTCATTTTTGTTGTAAAAAAGTTATTAATTTAGTTCATTTATATATATAGCCCCTGTGGAGAAAACCTGGGTGATATTAAACCCTTCAACATCTATTTTAATTTTTCAGTTGAAGGTCTGTCCTTTTGTGTATTGTTTGCTCACCTGTTAATAATTCCATTCATGTAGAACTATGGTAGAATGCTAAAAATATGTAAGTTCCTGCCTTTGTTACAAAAAGATAAGTTTCTATGTATATGTCCAACCTCTTTTATTTTGGGATACCTGTCTGGGGAATATTGTGTGGTCTCTACGTTGTACACTGTAATTAGGCTTGCTTTTGGAAAATGCAGCCCTGGTCAGAAAAAACAACAACACAAGAGAGAGAACAGAACACTATTTTCCATTTGCATTTATGTATTTGACACTGATCTTAAAATACAACTTTCAGTGCGCACAAGTTATATTCTAAGACGCTGTGTGTTATTTAACAAGTATGTGTGTTCCCTGGGAAATGAACCAATGATCTTGGAGGGGTAAACACAGCTCAGAATTTCATGTCTTATTTATTGTAAAGTCATTGTATACGGTCTTCATTGAACCAATAGGCAGTCATGTTTAATTGAATGATCTGTTATAGAAAATGAAAAGACCTCATATTTCACTTTGTGTTAAATTACAAAAAACATGCATAGGAATCAGACCACCGAAAGCAAAATTATTTTCTGTCTTCTGAGTTGCAGTAACATCTTCTAAAAGTCTTAGAAAAAAGAAACATCAAAAAGTGTCATTACATTTGAACACTATAAATGTTGGAAATATATAACAAAAATAATAATGAAAATGTGATTATTTTTTATTTGTCCTTAATTTTTCTATACATGTGATCTGTGTAACGTCTCATCTTTAACTAAAAATGAATATGCAGAAATATTCTTTATAATTATAGTTTGTTTTATACAAATAAAAGATCTTATGTTTTTGGTGAATATCTGCTACACCTGGGTCCAGTCAGGTGAGCATCACAAGAAGCATAGTAGGTGAAATAAAGGATGCCACGCTTTAATTTACAGCTGTGTGAGTGAGTCCCACGTTCAGGTCTGACCACACATCTCCCCGCCATGTCATTATAAAAGACATCACTGTCCCACACCTCAAATATGAGTTCATGACCAAACTCAATTGATCCAAAATCATAGCTGATGTTCCATTCAGGATCATTGTTGTCCATAACCACTTCAGTCTCCTCATACATATGGTTGTACCAAACTTTCACGTAACCGTCAGTGCGTGTGAAGAGATCTGCTTTCAGGCCTGCGGCTCTCTGCACCAACACTGCCAACCTGCCACGGCTGGCTCGCATAGGGCAGCAGTTGTTGTCCAGATTTGGTGTCTGAGAACATCCTTGATTCACCTTGTGATCTACAGAAAGCAAGTTCTCTTCAATATACTCTGTTACTGCACTTTTCAGATTAGTACTAACCTCTGGATCAGCCACCAGATGATGGAGAGGGAAAATTGCATATGATATAACATCAGGGTTGTCATGTAAGCTCTTCATCCAGTTTAAGTACGCTTCAGTTGGGCTTTGGTTTAAATCAAGGTCTGGAAAGTATTTCTCACCTCCCAGCACCTCTATCTTGTGTGTCATGAAGCCCTGGTAGAATCCCATGCTCATGTTATCTTTAAGGATTTGAGAGCATTTGTTGGAGAGGGAGGCATTAGCTGGCAGGAAGCCCAAATTCATCTTTAACTCAATATTCAGACAGTTCTTGATATCCGTCTCAGAGAAGCCCTTCAGGGTTGCAAGACAAGTTCGAAAAGCCGTGACCCGTCTCACTCGGCCTCCCAGATGGACTTGACGTATGTAATGAGTGCCGTACGTATCTATAGTCCTTCGGTACAGGGTTTTTGTTTTGTCATCATACTGTGCCGGAAGTCGCTGGAGATGGTTTGCAAATTCGATGCTGATCTCTGGGTGATCTGTAACTCTGTAACTGTAAATGAACAAAAAAATAAGTCATCTGTCAGCAGATTCTGAGTGTGTTTTCTAAATAAAGCTGTAATTTGCCTGATGTGTTTTTTGACAGTTATTTGGTCAAGGGACATGATAAGAAAGTACTTAGTAAAGCATGTGGTTGTTTTTTTTTGTTTAGATAAAACTGAGATTTGACTGACTTTTTGGTTTTCAAGTGTTTTATGACTAAATTGTTTGGTCAGATGAGGGTTGCATGCAAATCAAAACATGTTTGAGATAATGCTTCTTCTTCCTCGTCATACATAATCCTAAATTTCCCAAGGAAAAGAAAACTGACATTCAAATAATTTACTTGCACTGCAGCTTGCTTTTAAAGGTTGCTAAAGTAGGATCTTTTGGGCCTAGAAATATGTCTCTGAACAGCCAACAAGAATAAAACTTAAAATACAAAAAATAAAAATTATATAAAAAATATTAACCTAATAATGTCAAATTACAAAACTCACTTTCAGACACCAGCAAGCGTTTGAAATAACTTCCTTGCAACCCGATGGGGATTCTGATCACCGTATGAAAGTGAGTTTTGAACTGAAAATTCTTTAAAATGTCTTAAATGTTGATGTTAGCTGGTAGCCTGATATAATAACATGGGAAATGAGCAGCGGTTTTGACCATCTCATGTCTGACTCAGGTAAACCCTGCCTTTGTTCATGACCACTCCTCAAGTCTAGACCAAGTTATTCGGCGTGCCAAAAACCTTGGCCGTTGGCCCAGAGGAAGCCCAGATGAGGCCAGATCAAGCCCTAGAAGTGACAGTGGAAATGCGACTAGCGGGGGCGCTGTTGGAGACCGAGCATGTAGGACGTGTCTCCCTTTTGTTCCGCTAGTTTGTTTTTATTTTAACTTTTTAACACAGTTTCTTTTTATTAATTTGGCCGGTGTACATTTGTGACAAGTACTAGTTCAGTTTTGGTGTGTTTTGGGGGAATTTCAATCGACAATGTCAGCTGCACGTGGAAACTCGGCTCGCACTGGCCGTGCTAAGGATTCTCCCTCGACTGAGCCCGCATCTCCGCCGAAGGTGGTCACGGACCCCGAGTGTGCGCCCAATTTGGATCACCTACAGGCTATGTTAGACCAGTTGAAAGGGGACATTTGCGGAAAAATAGACTCGCTGGCTTGCGAGCTTTGAGCGGACATTTCTTCGGTAAGAGAGGAGCTTAGACACGCAATTGAACCGATGCAACAAAAACTTAGCTCTCATGATCAAACTATCACAGAGTTGCAGCGCGCGTGCACTGACCATAGTGACCTGCTAACTTCACTGGATTCAACAGTTTCCACGCTGAAAGCCGAGGTTAAACTGCTGGCCGACAAATGTGGGTAGAGCGAGGGGGAACAATACGGCCGAAGGTGGGCGCCCAACCGAATTTATTGCACAGCTGCTGATGGACTCCCTCGGTCTGGGTTGCCCCTACTCGATCGTGCGCATCGCACTGTCTGATCCAAGCCCAGTGACGGTAAACCACCCCAACCCTTTGTGATTCGTGTGCACTTTTTTCACGTGAGGAATGACATTTTACGCCGGGCTAGCGAGGCTTCTCTTCTCCATCAAGGCAAGAAACTGTTTCTCTTTCCTGACAACACTTCGTCAGTTGCGAAGAAATGCGCTGCATTCACGGACGTCAAACGTCTGTTACATTCATGTTCTGGAGTGAAGTTTGGATTGAGGTTTCCCGCGACTTTAAAAATCACTCTTCCCGGTGGAGTTACACACACCTTTGAGGACCCAGCCACTGCAATGGACTTTGTCAAGGTGAACTTAAAGTCTGGTGTCTCTTCTGTTGAAGTTTGAAAGCGGCTGGCAGTTTGTTTGGTAAACTGGGGGTTAATTTAACCCAATTTCTGATGTTAAGCTCTCCTGCTTTAAGTTCGTGTCACTTGGACTTGAGTCACTTTTCATATTTTGCTACTGTGTTTGTTTATATATTTATTTTATGCTTTATTACAAACTCGCACGAGCACTACTGGTTTGTGCTGTTAAAGGGGTCATATAATGGTAGCCTACATGCACTTTTACAAGTTGATTGTACTGAAATGTGTGTTGGCAGTGCCTGTACACAACCATCATAAAATGATAAAAATCCATCCAGTGTTTTTGTTTTAATCTCTTTATATGTTTTCCCCTGTCTCAAATCGAGCCGTTCGACCGTGTGACGTCACACGCTCGGAAGCCCCTCCCACGATTGTTGATTGACAGCAGCGTTTCAACACAGACCCGCCCTCGCTCGTGAGCGAGCTGTCAATCATAGTCTAAGCGATTGTGGTGTTCTGTTCTTGGGTGTAATAACGAACACAGCAGTCATTTTAATGTTCCTAAATCCGAACCGCTGAAGACGCAGTGGCTGAGTTTGTTTTCGAAGGGAATATTCCCCACGAGCAACGTCAATGCTCTCATGTTTGCGCGAATCATTTCTCACACCAGACTGCTTTATAATTGAGGGTCAGTATAAAGCTGGTTTTGCTAAGAAGCTGCTCATGAAAAAAGGATCGGTACCAGCTATTCATGTTCCTGCTGAACCTTTAGAACAACTGAGGTGAGTGTAACGTTTTATTAAACTTTATATTAATATTTATATTAATCTTTGCAAATCGCTAGCTGCACGCTTCACAATGAATGCGTCTAAGGTTTACACTTAGGGTACATTACGGCATGTTTTCTATGTATGATGTTCTCAATATAATTCATAATCCCACGTTTATACTGAACAACGCGTTATGGTTATTGTGTTATTGTGTTACAAATGGTGTACGCACAGAACAGGGAGGCGGGGTGAGCAAAGCTCATTATCATTTAAAGTCATATGCACTGAAACGGCGTGCTGAAAACAGAGCTGTTTTTGACCAAGTAAAATAAGTGTTTTCTTACAATACTAATGAGAATTTGTAATTATTCTTGAAATACACCTCTGGTGCAACTCAGACACATCATCAGTGATGTATCCTGGGTTCATTGGGTGTTTCGGGTCTCACAACATCATACACCCTCGCCCAGGCGACCCAGCCAGGGTTGATCAGGCCCTGGCTTGTGTCTGAGTAGCTTGTAAGATCCACGGATCGCCCCGCTTGATCCATAGCCATCTTGACGCCTTTTCGGCGGCGTCCGTGATGTTCTTGATGGCTTTTCTGATGTGCAGTCCCTCCACTCCAAGCATCTTGAGGGCCCTAATCAGTGACTGGCCGACGAATCCTCTGCACCCGACCTCGATGGGATTACATCGGGTCCTCCACCCCCTGCTTCGGCATTCGCCTGCCAGCTCCTCATACTTGGCCCTCTTCCTCTCAAAAGCCTCCTCCATCCGGTCCTCCCAGGGAACAGTCAACTCCAGCAGGACCACTTGCCTTGTTATTTCTGACACCAGGACAATGTCTGGCCTGAGTGTGGTCACTGCGATGTTTTCTGGGAATTTGAGCTGTTTCCCAAGGTCGACCTTCAGCTGCCAGTCCTGTGCTGTTGCCAGCAGCCCCCCTGATTGCTTCAGGCACTGGTGTGGCTTCTCCCCAGCTTTAACAAAGCCGATGTTCTGCCTTGCTGGCTGCTGGTATCTACTGCACGCGATCCCAGTGCTGATAACCTCTGCAATGACCCTCAGTACTTGGTCGTGGCGCCAACGGTAGCGCCCCTCTCCCAGTGCTTTTGAGCAGCAGCTCAAGATGTGCTCTAAAGAGCCTCCTCTCTGGCAGAGTGGGCACAGTGGTGTCTCTGCCAGGCCCCAGCGGAAGAGATTGGATGGACTGGGGAGGACATCATAGACAGACTGAACCAGGAATTTAATCCGGTGTGGCTCAGACTTCCACAATTCTGTCCACGATATTATCCGGTCTGCCGCCTGCTCCCATCGAGTCCATGCTCCCTGTTGCCTCATCCCTACTGACCTGCTGCAGCGGACTTCTTCCACCCCAGCTCGGACCTCCTCTTGAATCAGCTGCCTCCTTTCCTTCCCCTGGGCCTTGTTAAAGCGAGGTCTTGGATTGCTCCCGAGTCCTGCCCGTCCAGATGCCACTGCCCCCATCAGCTCACTATGTCGCAGCCGTGACTCAGCCTGGTCTACTGCCTCTTGGGCCTTCCACTTCCTGCCGGTTCTGACTTCTATGCCTGCCGCAGAGACCTTGATGTCACTGGAGTCTCTATACAGTAGCACCTCTCTTGATCGGGATACCATAAACTCTTCCTTCAGAATGCTGAAGGGCAATTTTAGCTTGTTCTTCCTCCAGTACAAGGCGATGTCACTGAGGCTTCGTGGTAGGCCTAGCCACTTCCGCAGGGAACTGCTGACTTTCCTCTCAAAGCATTCAACGGTGGTAATTGGCACATCGTAGACCAGCAGTGGCCAGAGCAGTCGGGGCAGGATGCCGTGCTGGTAGATCCAGGCTTTAAATTTACCTGGCAGGCCTGACTTGTCCACAGCCGTCAGCCAGATTACCAACTGGTTGGTGGTTGTCTGGAGAGCTGCGGTGTCCTTCAGGGTGCAGTCGTAGGTCTTACCCAGACTCTTGACTGGATTTTCTCCGACAGATGGTATCTGGATGTCTCCTAGTGAGAAGCAGAACTGGTCTGTAACCTTCCCTTTCTTTACCACCAGGGACCTGGACTTAGCTGGCTTGAAATCCATCCGAGCCCAGTTGATAAGGTGCTCGAGCCCTTGGAGGATCCATCTGCACCCCGGAACCGATGTTGTGGTCACCGTCAGATCATCCATAAATGCTCTTATGGGGGGCTGCCGTATGCCTGACTTGGTGAGTGGGCCTCTGCACTCTACCTCTGCAGACTTCACCAGCATATTCATCGCCAAGGCAAACAATATCACGGAAATAGTACATCCCGTGATAATGCCCTTCTCAAGCCGATGAAATGCAGATGTTTCCGTTCCAGAGGTGACTCTCAGACTGAAGGAATTATAATAATCCAGCATGAGGTGCTTTGTCTTGTCTGGAACGTGGTGTCGGTCAAGTGCGGCT